ATTGAATTTGTATTAACTTTTATATTTATAAAAGTCACTAATATATCATACAGTTGGAGCAGTTGACTTCATCAAAGTTTGTAATTATTAACATGACAGAGTATTGTACCATTGATTAAATCAAAAAAGAAAAGTTAGTGATGTATACTGGGGGAATAACTGTGCCTCTTCACTTCTGTGAATCTGCCAGTGGTGTTTGTACAATCAGCTTTTGAGTTCTCACCTTCCTAGATCTAATGGGATTTTTGTTTTGTTTTTAACAACAAACATCAAGGGAAAACAAACATATCAAGGTCATAGATGCAGTTCTGGTGTAAGACTATTAAGAACATCACTAAATTGGCCTCCTCTTTAACCTCTCTTCTCAGGTGTTTAGAGGCCCATCTCCCTTAGATACCAAACAACCTTTTCACCTCATCTTTTGGTTGCCAAGGTACACACAATTTTTCTCTACCTCTCTCCTTACTCATCCTCTAATGTCATCGTGGTTACATAGCCTGCATATCCAGACTTAAAAGTTCATTTTAAGAGTTTTGAAAATTAACTTGGATTTTATATCTATATTAAAAAAATCACTATGGTGCTGTTCGAAAGTGCATCTCTGCAGTGCATACCCAAATAGTTGTAAAAGGCTAGGGGGAGGGGGATTAGGGGATATTATAATGTAAAGTGCAGAATTAAATTTGCATACTAGATGATTCTTCCCTTTGAAGTAATTGATTATATCATGCTGGTTCTGTACCGAAGAAATAGAAACATGTACATTATCTATTCATACAGGGGGGGGGGGGGGGGGCTGATCATTTTCCCTCTGCTAAAAAGATAGCTATGCTGTCCAGTGTAAACAACCACCGGGTGGGAATGCTTAGAAATATATGGATATAGATGGTATTGGTAGATGGAAGGGTACTTCTTTTTTACTGGTATCTTTTTTGTATGAACATGAAATGAATATTGAAATAAAGATAGGTAGAAAATAGAAACATATTTGTTTAGAGCCAGAAGGGCATTAAAGGTAAAGACCAGTATTGGAAACGCCCCAATTTCAAAAAATGAAATGGAAGCTCTCATTACCAATCATGTGAAAGAATTTGTTTTGACTAATACATGATGATAAAAAAATTGCGGGGAAACTGCCTACTAATTCCTATATTTGGTAAATTTGTTTCTCTCATGGTCTGTGAGAGATATAGGGTAGTCCCATATACATCTTTCTGTGTATAGTGCTTGTAACTTTACGAAGAATGGGCCAAGTTTCTTATCATTTTGATGATTCCAGAACCTTGCAGATGCTAGATGCTAGATTATCAACCTTTTCTGATCGATTCCACAACGTTTCTTTCACAATGCAATCGCATGACCATAACTGGTCTTTACCTTTAACTATGTATAACATAATATGAATCAATGCCCTTCTGGCTCCAAACAGATGATTTACAGAATTATATACCCCAAAAAAGGTTCTGGTATCCAAAGACTAGGCCACACTTGAACCTGTAATCAGAAGGAGATAAAGTGACAACGTTTGATGAGAACCGCTAACACCATGGTAACAGGAAGAGGGATTGAGCCAGGGCAGCCAGAGCCCAATAGACCTGGTGTGAATTTCTGCAAAGCACTGGTGTGGTAGAAATGTCAAAATACAGTTTCCTTCATGTTGATCAATAGATTTTACTTTATGACAACTCTTTAACTCTGGCAGTTCAACATAAATAGTAATCTAAAGATCTTTAAAGCGTTCTATCATTTTATCTTCCTATTGAGCTCATAACGGGAGAGCATAGCCTACATAAATGTCGCATTTGACATGTATTAATCATTAATCAATTAACATGACAAATTCAAGTATCAAACGAGCAACTCACAGGATAAATTGATATAAATGCTTCTCAAGTCATTGCATTGGTTGAAATGTAATTGTATTTCAATGAATTTATTATGGTATACAGGCAGAGAAAACAAGGGTAAGCTATAGCATAGAATTATGCACATTTGTGGTTTGATAAATACCTTATACATGTAAGAAAAACAGTGATGAAAATAGCCTTATAAATGTCCATGATGAAAATAAAACATTATTTTGAATAAAGCTTCATGGCTAACATTTTCAGGTTAAATTTAGGGTGATCAAAGGGTCATTGGTAAATACTAGTCAAATATTTAATTTGAATCTGACATTTCTGGTATATCTCAAAGCAATTCAGATGGTTCTTTAATGAAATGATGTTCCACTTACACAGGTGATTAAAGAAAATGAATTATTGAAAAAATATGTTTTTTGACCCCCATGACCGTTTACAACACTGTGGTTTGCGTTAAATGACAGGCAGTGAGGAATAACAATTGTTCTTTAAAAGATAAAATAGACCTCTTCAAGTTTTGAAGAAAAAGGGTGTGTTTCCAATCTGTGTTGCACATCAAAAAGAACAACTTTCTCACCATAAAGTCGGTTGGTAAACTTGTGAACTGTTTGAGAAATCAGTGCGTGATGGAGGTTGGGATGTCAGGAAGCCTTCAAACGCTGAAATCATTTGTGACAGAATCAATATTAACGTTACACTACACAGCTACCAATACCCTGGGACCACACCTCACTCCCCCACCAATTACAGTGTCTATCGGAGTCCAGGTGTTCCCCATAATTACTGGGCCAAGGGAGATCCTTGCCCCGGTGGAGCCAGGGGTGGGGCTGACCCCCTTCCCCTTCCCTATCTCATCTCGATGTTCTTGGATAAACTGCTATGCTTTTATAACTATTTTTGGGGTCTTTAGAGTTTAGAGTTTAAAGGTATTACAAAGTTTTGGTATGGGGTCATGAATTTAGTTCAAATTAACATATTGGAAGCATATGCGTTCCTACAATATTTATTGATCGTTGTCCCGATTGAAATCGAGTCTAAAGTTATGAAATTATAAATAATAAACTCTTTATGTTGTATAGCTCCCTCTGAAGGTCATGATATCAATTTAGCTATGAAACAATGTTTCTTGACTAAAATCGACCGATTAGCTTTTCCTGTTTGAAAATTATATATCACAACTACATATTCTGAGATTTTCATGGTCGCAGCTACCATTGTACGGCCGTAGGCGCTATTTGAAATTTATAAAAATTTACCGGGAGCACCGGTAAATTTTTATATTCAATTTTTCTCGAAAACAGAAGTGTTTTAGGGGTTAATTTTTTTAGTTCTTATAGTACATCCACAGGGGCATCCAAATATATCAAAATTGTAAAGATTCACTATCCACCCAATTTTCCAAATTTCCCAAAACTTTGTATTACCTTTAAACAAAATATTTAGGCCTACTCAGTGGTTGACCCTCAATTCATTTGAACTTGTTGCATGTTTTTTTTACAAAACAAAAAACAAAACAGGCTCCTTTGGAGATACACGCTTGCTTGGCCATGAGACGCGTCAAAACTGAGGCATTTACATTTCCGGCTATTGAGGGGGCACCAGTGTCAAGCCGGATTGGGGAGGGGGAGGGAGGGGAGGAGACTGGTAGATACTTTTGCTAGTTAAAAGAAATGCGGATGAACAAGGCCAAGCATTAGGGAGGATGTGGGGTGGGGGCTGGGCAAACATTTTCTTATTAATTTCATCTCCCCCCCCCCCCCCACTCTCTTTCTTCCCTCTCTCTCTACCTCATTTTCCCTTTTCCCCTTCAAATTGGCATAGGAGAGAGGGAGCTTGGACATGCCCCCCCCCCCTGCAACTTATATGCCCTGACGTTATGTTCTTTATTGAGCTACCCTGCCACAGTGTATCCAAAAGTTCTTGTTTTGACAACAAAATGAAAATAGTAATATCCATCTCAAGCTGTCATCATTCCTTCATCCCTTTGAAGTTAATTGAAACAAGGTTTAATGAATCAAGATAAGCTTTCTAAATGAAAGAAACCAAACAATTATTATTTTATTTATAGTTTATACATTGATCATTGTCCGTCTACTTTCCGTGTATTTCTGTCTTTCTTTCATGTTCATCCATCATGCTCTAAAACCTAATCTACCTCTCTCCCTCACCCGTACCCCAACCCCATACCCAGCTTGACCCCCTTTCTCTGTAGTAGCATCTTGCTCCCTCCTGATATTGCCCGGAGGCAATTTGTTCATATTTTGTGTTCCAGCAAATTTAGGTGAGCTTCAGTTACAGCAATTTGAAATTATGTATTGACAGTCTAAATTTCAGGCATGTGATTACAAACACGCCCTCTCTCTCTCTCTCTCTCTCTTTCTCTCTACCATAATCTTTCTCTTTACCAGAACCAGAGGAGAAAGTAGTTCACTGAAGTTCAACCAAAACTCCAAGAATGATCAGGTTTCATTGTTGTGGTTCTCATTCTTATTTTGTTCCCAAATGTGAGAGTGATTTTTATACTTATACATTACTTGCATGTGTAATCATGGTAATTATTTAGTGTCCTCCAATATTGAAAAGCATGCCAGACACACTTTAATTAGCATTCATGTCCAAGCAAGCAATGATTTATATTTATAAAAAAATTGCTTTTGATGATTAACTTCCTCTGTTCACATTGATGTATATTTCATATGTATTGTAATTTGTAGGTTTATTTGTGTTTTCTTTTTGTTTTGTTTAATATGTAATTGTTTAGTATTGTATTTTTTTTTCTTATAGTGCTTAGGTAAGCGCTTTATAAACACTGTTTTTATTATCATTATTGTTATTATCACTTCAAATTTTCATCTCATCATCCTCCTTTCCATGACAACATACGATCTGCCTTTTATTCTCTCTCTCTCCATTTCTCTTTCTTCCCTCCCCCTCTATCTCTCACTCATTCTTTTTCTATCCACAAATTCTCCCCCCCCCCCCCCTCTCTTTCCTTCTCCTCTCTCCATCTGTCTCTCCATGTACATACCCATGATCACCTCTCGATCAATTGCACTCTTTTGCTTTTTTTTTCATGTTCGATTTCCCCCTTTCAATTTCTTTCTCTTATACATTAAAAATGACATTCTTGCAAACAAATTTCAGCTTTTCAATATTTTATTTTCAAAGGTACAAAACAGCAACAAATACTCCAGCATAATACATCTGTACATAAAACTTACATGACAACTATCTTTTCCAAAAGATTGTAAGAGTTTGGTAAAATTCTGCAGAGTGTAAATCAAGCTTTAGAGAGATTGTCATTTTGTTTGCACTCCAGTTTTAACCATTAAACTTCAGGAAACATGTGATTTCTGAAATCTTATTATGAATACATTGAATGGGTTATGTGAATAAGTTTACCCCACTCATTTCATTACTGTGAAATGTGAATACATGACGAGGTGTTTTTTGTTCAACCATCTTTCATATAGCTTAAATCATCAAAACATTACATGGTAGTACTTTTTATTTACAAGTGAAGACATAATAAAAAGGCACTTAAATATTTCTATAAAATAAACCAGCTTTATCATATGTACAGTACATCATCTATTCAAATGAACTATAAAACATGTTATTAAATTACTATAAAAAGGCAATAAGCAATTTAAAATCTCCCCTCCTATCCATAACTAGACCTGTATATGTAATATCAAACTGTAAATTGATACAGAAAGACAAATATATTTAACTTATTTACTTACGAGTGACTATATGGTAGTACAGTTCTACTTAAAGAGAGAGATTACACTTAAATACTCAAGGCACAAATTTAATTAAGTACTAATTTGATGATAGAAATCGGACATTACATGATCTAACCAAGGCATTATGTGATGACGAAGAATTGGAATGGCACCAGGAATGTTATTTTCAAATGTTAATACAATAAATAACAAACTACAAAATTCATACCAGCTGTACAAAAAAACAACTTTTTGTTACTCTATGAAAATCACTATAAATATCTTATGTATTTACATACAATCATAAGTTTGCCGGAAGTAATTAATGAGTAATGTGAAGAATTTTGTAAACTTTTCAGCATAATACTTCAGAGAGACACTAAAGTCTCAAAGTTCTATTAAGCAATTAGTTCTGGAGGCAGATTTGGATTCATAACTGTAATCAGCTAACCTAGGTGACTTATATGACTAGGTGAAATATATAATGATAAATTTTAGTTTTCTTTATTAAAAAAAAGGGCAAGAGGGGACAAAACAAATAGCCAACCAATACATTTTATTATCATTTTGACAACTGGATAGTCCTTGATTTTAACAATATTTAGGGTGAACTAATCATTCAATTGGAGGTTGAGGAAATATTGCTGTGTGGTCTCCACTAGACAAATTACAGGAAAGGAAAAACTAAACTAAACCTGGCGAACTTTGACCTCCAATAAGGTTAATGTATCCCAGCTGCCTTCAAAGGAGATACATCCTCTAGCCTTCAACAAATGCTTTATTTATTTACTTTATGGGTGATCTTTCTTCTTATTTTTTGCATTTTAATATTTAAATAAGGGACATCCATATTTTTATTCAGTTTCTTTGAAGTAGATGATAAAGGAGCCTAGTTTAAAAGATGGAGGAATTTGACTTTAAAATTGTTGATTCTTTAATAGGAAAAAAGAGGAGTTTCCTTTGAAAATAATACTAATATCTCTGAAATTTCTGTTGTTTTGTTTCATTAGAATTTATTTAAAAAAACTTAATATTTCCTTTTATTTCATTGTTGGTTCAGGCGTATACTGTGACAAAAGTGAAAGTCATCCGTTCTTTGGTGCATAATGCATATATATATTTATCAAGGCACAACGTGAAGAAATACTCCATGCAGAAATACTAAAACATATTAAAGAAAACTTTGGTCATAAAGATTTAATTGGTTTTACAAATTTGGTCCATTTGACATTTCAGAGGGGAAGACACGCAACTATATCTTTACATATAGACGTGTACAGACATGGAATGATTGATAGAAAAGCTTTTAAATATAATGAAAACTACTTGAAATCTAAATGTTGTTATGGCAAAGAATAACACTTTATGTAATTTTGAACTGTATATCCACTTTTAAATGTGTGGTCTCTGGTGGATAATCTCCGCTAAACACATAAAAAATGAAATATTGGGAGAGGACAACGTCTTTATACAAATTGCAAATGCAATAGAGAGTAGAGAAGATTGGAGCAGACAAGCCATTTGCATGAGTGGCTGATGAACTGTCTGTTTACACGTTAAAACACAAATTGATACTGGGGTGATTTGTGGGGTTTTAATGGGTTTGCCTCCGAAAGTTTCCAGTCATTGGAAATGTCAATCTCAAAACGACTGTTGGTCTTTCGAAAGTCACTTCCTCACTGACAAGTAGGTCATCAACCCTTCCTGGGCTAAAACACTAGAGATAAATCACACATATCACTTAAAATTGAGCTCTGTAAACACGGTATGTTTGTTCAGTACTCTTCAAACAAAATGGGGGTTTAGAATCAGAGATGCGGTTGTACTTTTCAGTGTTTGTGCTTACTATCCACAGAGTTTTAAGTTTGTTCAAGATCTGACTGTACCTGCGAAGGAGTCCCACGGTCTGGACTCTGGAAGCATGGTTGCGGGCTCGGTGAGGTCTACGTAAGCTGGTGATCGCTGGGGGGAGGTGTGAGGGAATTGGTAGGCAGGGGGCATACTTTGGACTGGCGTAGCCCCTGCATTGGCATTGTAGAAGTCCATTTGTGCTTGTTGCCGAGGGGAGTGTTGCTGTGCAGGGTATTCGCATTGGGATGCCTGTCGGAAGTCGTAGGGTTGCTGCTGCTGTTGTTGTTCCTGGGCTTGTTGCATGGCAGCAAAGTGGAAAGCTTGCATCTGATGAAGGTGCTGGGAGGAGGGGTATTGAGGAGGAGGTGACATCATGTCATGCTCCATCTTAGAGTTCACATTGTCCAAGACTGTGGTTTGTAGGGGGCTGGTGTTGCCTCCATTTGGGTGTGGTCTCCCCATCCATTGCCTCCCAGTGCTGCTTTGGGTGTTGACATTGCTCATGGGGTAGGTACTGTGGGTTGTGAAGGGGGGCATGGCACACGACTGTCTCACCATCCCCTGCTGGCCTGGCATGGGTTGAGATGAAGTCACACTAGCTATGGTCTGCACGATGTACTGGTCCAGCTCCTCCGATGAAAACTCCTCCATGCCCATGATGTCGCCACCAAAGTCACGGACATCGACACCAGCAAAGTCAACCGGCATCTCTGTCTTGACTTTCAAGGAGTACTTCTGGCGTTTGTTGGGGCGTGTGCATTCCAGGTCATTCTTGGGTGTGGTCGGTGGTGTAGGGGGTCCCTGTCCCCCTGCTCCTCCCATCATCATCCCCAGCTTCTCGGTCCTCTCCTTCAGGTTGGCTTCAGTGATCTCTTCCCCGACCATAGCGCTGAGAAGAGCCTTGGTGGAGACGTGGTTGGAGGAGTCTGGAGAGGGAACCAGGCTGGGGCGGTTGCCGGTAAGGCAAGGCTTCTTGGGGTTGTTGTCATTCTTGTTGCGACGCCTTGGTTGATACTTGTAGTCAGGGTAATCTTTCTTGTGTTGTTGACGAAGACGCTCTGCCTCCTCAATGAATGGCTGCTTCTCCTTATCTGACAACAATCTGTGGAAATAGAATTAAAAAAAAGAAATAGCTGTTAGACCCTACATGCTTTTAAGGAAAACTTTTAGTGAAAACAAAAACTAAACATAATTCATAATTACAGAAAAAAATAACAGCATTATCCACTTATGGCTTTCCTTAGCAAATGGAACATGAACAGATATTAGATAATCATTCACAGAGTCAAAGTACTTCATATTATTAATAACGTGTGGAATAAAGAGGCATACACTAATAAGCAACTCTTCCGTTAAAAAAAAAAAAATTGGTTAAAAAAAAAATTGGTTCAAAAGATTCTGTTTTTAAATAGTTAAGGAGGGCGTCCCATTTTGGGTTTCACTGCCCTAAATGGGCTATAATTTCATCTCCAATGATATTGACGATTTGGAGAATGCTTTGAATGTAAAGCTTTTACATCATCAGTGTGTGGATGTTTTGAATTCGGCGAGGATAAGTGTTAATGGATTATGCTCTTCTTTGAAAATTTGAGATCTAAAAAGGAGACAATAAAGGGGCAGAGTTGGTAGTAGAGAGTAAAGAAGTGCCCACGCAAGGATGCGAACAAAATCATAACACCGCCGAGAGCAAATAGAATAAAGAATGAAAAGACTTCTGAAACTTTTGTTACCAGCTTATCTGTTCTAATGGAGGCAGGGGCGGCAGGTTAGAAGTCGCGAAGGTTGAGTTTTATTGTATCAACCTCGATTGATGGGGCAGGGAAACAATGCAAGACAATCGACATAGCACAATAGGGATTATACGGCTTTTGAACCTTTATAACTGTAAACCGTTGCCAATTCACAGAACTATAGACTGAGTTTGCCCTCTTGTAACCCTTTCACATTTTCAAGATCGTATATTGTTTGTTCTCCACGTTTTCATGGTTTGCTAAGATTTTTATTGTAAAAAGTGTTTGACAGAGCATGTGCACAACTGCACATTACGAATAAATGGTTGGCAATTAGAACTCATGCGTCAAATTTAACATTAACTGAAACATCTATGAGAGGAAGGGGTATTTTTGTTAGGAAAAATATAGGCCCTACTACAAATAGAGCTTGTACCCCCCCCCCCCATCACTTTAATTTATTCATAGATTTTATGCCGCATGCACATATGATAGCTACCACCATCTAACCGCAGGTCCCAACCATACCCATGTTCAGTGGGGAGCTGGGAAATCCATATCGGTTTTTCCTTTCTTATAACTTTCACTTTTTGCCACAAATATGGGGAAATAATTTCCCGAAATTCCGCAGGTCATTGGGGTCTCTGATTCACTCATCGGAATCTCCCTGTGGACCAGAGCAGCTAGGTCCATTAGGATTTAATTCAAAATGCAGTGTGAAAATGCAGCGTGAAAATGCCAACTACATTTCATGGTTTGTACAATTATTCAATACCCCTCTCTCTCTCTCTCTCCTAAGTCTCAACTACAGTGTAACATTTGCATTTTGCAGGTCTACAATAAATTTACTCAAACATATAAGCTTTCGCATGCCGCATATTACTAATATTACCCCGTGACTTGAGTGTAAGAATTGATGTCGAGTGGTGCTAAAAGTAAAATGTTCAGAAGATTGCAGAATTATAGCTTTGATATCAATGTGACAAAAAATGTTCAATATTATCAATGTACGAGCAATTGGTAATAATTCATGGGATTTGTCTCCTTTCGTGTACACACTGCACAATCTTGTCTTGCTAAAGATAAGCTAATGATCATGATGATAAACCACACCATTTCAAACCCACGTTTTTAGGCTACATTTCAATATTCCACAGGAAGTGAGTGGGTACCCCTTCCCTCTAAAAAAAAGACAAGACAAGAAATTCCAAAAGAGGAGGAGAGTGTGGCGTTCGACCCCTGCAATAGTCATCCACGCGTATACACCTACGCATTTTTTGTGGTAATTTTATGTTTCTAATACAGTTTTAATGAGTCATACTGTGCAGCCACGATTAATTTTCAGAAAAAACTGCACGCGTTTCTTTTTAATGGCATATTTTGTGATATACTGGCTGATTACTCACTGGTTCTTCTCGTGTATTTTCATAGCCAGTTGACCCCACAAACAAATTCTTGCCGTCACTTTGGTTTAATAAGCCTTTCGCAATATCAATAGAAATGGAATGACATAGTTTTCTCCACACATAAGCATGATAAGTAAACTCCGAGTCCAACTTGAAATTCTCTTGACCTACATACATAAATGAACTCTCACAGCAGAGGGCATTATTTCGTTCCAATATAGTTTCAAAATCTCTTTCGTTTTTAGACAAGGGCAGCCTGTATGAGTGTACGTATGTAGGACCAATATTGGAAAGGCACTCATATCGAATGCATGCGCTATGCTAGATTCATTATCCCTCAAAATATTCTAATATTGCATTAACAGGATAGAGGGTTTAACCTTACAGCATGTTACAACATTAATGTGGCCGTGATGATCATGGTGATGATCGGCGGCTATGTGCAACCACAACTTCAACTCAACGGTATCACTGTCGATCATTCATCCATCCATATCCACACTCCCTCTTTCTATACAAATCCTAGTCCTAACTCATCGCACATTCGAATATATACACGACATATTACATACTTTGATATTGTACGAATTTCTTTAAAAAACAGTGTTACAAAACAACGTACTTCTTGTATGAGTAAATACTATAGCCAAATGTAAAATGTGGTGTCAAGCACATGCAATGCTAGCATAAGAGTTGAGACAGATAAAGTGTAAACAATAGTCAATGTGATCTCACCTCCATAGTTTTCCCAGGGTCTTGCTCAGTTCCGCGTTGTGGAGCTGTGGATACTGGTTTCCAAGCTTCTTCCTGGCAGCCTGAGCCCACACCATGAAAGCATTCATGGGTCTCTTGATGTGAGGTTTTCTCTTCCCGTTCGGTCCCGTCCTCGATGGGATAGCGACCACGGACCAGTCGTATCCATTCAGCACTCTCGACACCGCATCCCTGATCGACGGCGAGAACTGTGCCGCTGTCCCCTCGGGCCGACGACGAGGGATGATGGGTCGACACGACTGGAAAGGATGGCGAGGTCCTCGCGGGAGCATTCGCTGGAAGCATCGTCCGAGTCACTGCCTGGTGTTCTTGGGCTACTCCCTTCTGATAGAGAGTGATGAAGCTCTAAACTCTCAGGGCTACTCATGTTGTTGAGAATCTGTTATAATGTACGATAAAATACTTTCAAGAACGAAATCTGAATGTAGAATTCAGAGACAGTTTGCGAAAGCGCAATTCAGAAACAGTCCACCAGCAAGCAGTATGGATGCGAATATCAACAGTCGGTTGTTATCTATTTTGCAGCAAGTAAGTAACAAGCGTTGGCGTTGAAGCAAAATATCAATCCAGGACAAGATGTGTACGTGCGTGGGACGCAAGAGGTAAACTCAGAAATGAACACTTGAAGAAAGTGCGCCTAACTTTATTTCGATAATCTACTCCTGACCAGTTACTTCATCCGAATCCCCTTTATTTGACTCTTGAGCCGTCTGACTTTTTTGTTATCCGGTCCCTCTTGATGGCTGGGGTAAAGTCACGTCAAGAGAGGAGAGAGCTGGAGGGTGTTTATTGACACAATTAGGAAAATGAAGAAAGCTGGAGGAGTAGACTGCGTGCCCACCTCCATGTCTCACCGCTCCTCACCGTACATCAATCACTCCCATGCACCAATGCCCATTGGCCAGTCGCGGTGCATTATTCATGAGCAACCTAGCAGACCGTGTCGATTGGTCGAGAGGAGGAGCGAAATTATTCATGAGTGTGGAACCGTGGTCGTTGATTGGTGGGCGTGGACGATGATCTCATCGATTAGTCACGCCTCGTTGTGAATGGGTGAGCTGCGGATTGGAGGAAGGTTTGTTTCACCTTGGTGAGTTCAACTCACGCACAGGTCATTAGAGGGGCAGTAATTGACTATCAGATTACCGTGAATCAGAGCGGACCCCTGATATTCCTAACTTCACTGTGCACAGTGTATCGGCAAAACTTGTAGTAGCCAATATCCATGATCCGAAATAAAAGAACTATCATGGTTCTCCTTCTATTTCTCTCTCCCTCCCCCTTTTTCCTCCTCATCATACTCCCGCCTTTACTATCATTAACATTTCCCCTTTCCTTTTTATCATTTCACCCATCTCTCTCTAAATCGACAGCAACTACTAGATATTTAGATATTTTTGCTATGTATCAACAATCAGAACATGTAGTAGCCAATATCCATGATCCGAAAAAAAGTGAAATATATTATGGCCGTAATTGATTATTTCTATCATGCGGTAAGGGTCCATGGTTCTCCTTCTCTCCCCCCCCCCCTTTTTTTTTCCCTCCTCATCATACTCGTTAATTTCATGATTTCCCCTTTCCTTTTCACCCATCTACTACCAGATCTACAGCAATTACTAGATATCTAGTTCTCGGGGATAAAGGAGATACACTTCGCGCCAGAAGTGGTGACCCGGGTAGGGATTTATGGACGGGAATTTATAAAAGTTGAAACATTTACACTCGTCGTGTAGCTCCAACTGAGGTGGTGTTTGAAAATAAAATGGTATTGTAGACAGTTCAAATTATGTGTTGCAGACATGTGCAGTTGACCGCAGCAGTACCAAGCTCGTCCATGACTGCGTTATGCCATGCGCCGAGCCCACCTGCATCGATGGAGGCTTCATCACGCTATGTTCATGTTAAAGACACGCCGCCATCTTTATCATGTTCCTAGAGAAGAATAACAATTTAAGCACTTCGTATCTCATTATCAACATAACTGGTGATAACTTCCATAATTCCAGAGTTAGAGCGAGAGAGACAGACAGAGAGAGAGAGGGTGAAGGGGGTGGTCTGGTGGTATCCTATCACCCATTACTGTCATGTACTTTTGTCGTGTAAACTTCTGTGTCAATAGATTAATTTTACGGTGGCGTCACCTACAAAATAATTTTGTCTTTAGTACTAAGCAAACTTTGCTTCGAAATGCCGTTTTTTGTGTGATATAAATCCGTCAAATTCTTTGCTTATAAAAAGTACATTTACACGAGTGCAAGTGGATAGTTTTATAGCCAGATATGCAAACTACAAGTGAGTTTTCCATTGGCTTTGTACTTGCCATTTAGGACAATACAAAAGCAAAACCGATCAAAATATTATTGACAGCTATTACAAGATACAAGATATTTCATTTGGTCTTTGCAAACATGATTGTTACATAGAAATTTGGTTTCCACTGGCGTTACAATAGTTTTGTTGAATTGAGGAAGGAGGATGGGGAGTAGAATCCCATCAAAGCTGACTCAAACTTTAAAGATGCCCACCTTTCACAAACTGTGGCTACCTTTAAACCCAATCCGATATCAAGGCACGGTAAACGAGTTGATTTATTAGACTCTGAGGAGTGAGATCCTTCGAAAAAGATTGTTGGTAAACTGCAGCGGTGTTCATTCAATTTTTCATTCATTCTTCATCATGGGTGTTCTGAGTGACGGAAAATTCCAGTATATGTCATATTTTTTTCAAACTGATAACAAGTTTATCGCCTTTAATTTTAAAAAGTTTTAAATCTACGCTCATCAGAGTACTAGGATGTTGCAATTTATACTACCTATTTGAGATGTCCAAATTGTATAGTACCTCTGACCGTGGCCTGTACCGTTCTGCATGTACAACATGCTTTTCTTGTTTGTCGGGGGGGGGGGGGCAATTCGTATTTTTGTGTATCTTTGAATACAACTACAGTCCCTAAAAAGGGGTCTAAGGGTCATCTATTTCTAATTAGATCGAATATTTGAAGAGTGACATTTTTTTTTCATTTACATTTTACATCGCTTCTTTTCTTCTACACGGAGTGAATATATGCAAGGTAGCTCAAAAATGTTCACGCACCTTAAAGGTAAAGACCAGTATTGGAAATGCCCCAATTTCAAAAAATGAAATGGAAGCTCTCATTACCAATCATGTTAAAGAATATGTTTTGACTAATACATGATGATAAAAATTTGCCGGGAAACCGCCTACTAATTCATATATTTGGTAAATTTGTTTCTCTCATGGTCTGTGAGAGATATAGGGTAGTCCCATATACATCTTTCTGTGTATAGTGCTTGTAACTTTACGAAGAATGGGCCAAATTTCTTATCATTTTGATGATTCCAGAACCTTGCAGATGCTAGATGCTAGATGATCAACCTTTTCTGATCGATTCCACAACGTTTCTTTCACAATGCAATCGCATGACCATAACTGGTCTTTACCTTTAAAACATCCTTTACTTTGGTTACGATATAGGGAGCATTAATATTATTGAAAATGATATTGCATTGTTTGTATCATGCTCAAGATACAAGTTTGTTTCGGAAATTGAAGGTTAACTGTATTGCACGATTTATCGCTTGATTTATTGTACTCCAAGGATTCGCGTTGAAACCTACCTCAACATGGGTGTTCTGTCTGATTCCAAATAAAAATAATGACACAAACGATTCATTTTAAAGTGTCTGTGATATCATCTATGTGTAAAGGTTACGGGTGAAAAATGATATGAATTAAAAAGAAAGGAAGTGTTATATTTGTTGAATTATTTATCTTTCAGGATATTTTAAAGCTTTTTTGGCCATCTTCCAATTTTTCTTCTCTTTTCATTTTTGTTCAAGTTAATAAATATCTTATTTGTGTTGATATAAATGTTTTATCGACCTTTTTTAGCAACCTCTGTCATGTTTGTTATTCATTTTGGTTTGTGGCACGCACAACAAAAGTACGATGTACCAACGAAAAAAATATTATCTAGTACTCCATCGGCCCAAAAAAACAGAAATAATTTTGGAAGAAATCGGGAAAATATTTCAGAATTCATATCATGTTTTCCGTTGATGCTGTCGGGTAAAGCTTGGCTAGCTGTCGGTTCCAGTTGGTTGTCTGACAAGGGCTTGACGGTACGCCGACTTTTTGACAACCTCGGTCCGTCAGTAGTATACCGACCAACGGAAATCACCGATTTAGCTCAACCCTCCCTGATTGCTGTCGGTGATGTCGACAGAAACACATGTCATTTCGCTGCTCCTCTTCCATATTCCACGTATGTGCATGGTCTAGATAGATGGGTATGACTGGATGAATATGAATATCATCGTTTTGTCATCATCACCAAACTTTGTTTGAACTTTGAAGAAGCAGCGCCGGTGCATGTACCGCCGCACACGGTCGACAACATGTCACCCTATTACCAGTTACATGTCCCTGCTAATATAATTTTGCAATTTATTGACAACACAATGGTGTCTCCAAACATGCCAAAGAATTTCTGTAAACTCACATATCCCTGGTATACTGTACAATAGTGAATTAGGCCAATTTGTTATTTGAAATGAATGTAGTATAAAGCTACCATTTTTTAAAGCAGGGTAGAATGTTGATGACTTTTGTATTATAATAATATTTTGTTCGATTAAACTATACTAGTTCATTACTATCGTAGGCCTATTGTCTATATTTGTTTTGCAACAGACTGTTGATCTAAGATTTCATTCGTTTCATTTGTTTCTATGTCCACAAAGAGAAAGGTTAACTATACACGGCCCAGCCATTTTAAGCTTGTATCTTTTGAGCTGATTTTGTTATTGTAATGTAGTCGATGTTTTACGTTTGGCACTTGAATTTGAATGGCGTTACGTGTTCGGGAGGAGCAGCTAAAATGCGAGTAGAGATTGATATCTTTTTGAAAACTATAGGAGTGGACATGGAGCTGAGATAGATGGGTTTACCAGTAATCGGAGGCACACGATATACGCGAGGGAAGAACACGAAATAGTCGCGTTGTTAGTCGCTATTTCATGAACAATTTCTAGCAACGCCATATGTAATATTTAAAATAATAATTGGCTGAAAATAGATAAGAGTTATATTCAGAAGAACAAACTTTGGTTAAATGTGAAGAACCTCAATACCTGTTTAAAAAGATAGTTTGCCACTGAATTACATTATTAAAAAGGGTTTGTTTAATTCCGTGCTTAGAAAAGCTCAGTTTTCGGGGAATAATCATAGCGTCATCAATATCCTCAAAATTGGTAAAAGAAGAGAAAAGAAATGAAATGGACTTCTTTACAGACTTCCAAATAAGACTGTTATAGACCAATGTCACTAGACCCGTTATATAATATATGTGCATTGTGTAATAAAACTAGTAATATATTACCGAATCAGACAAAATGGAGGGAACGGGAAAGGGAAAGTGCCCTTGGAGAGAGGCTAGAAGGGGGATGAGTTAAAAGCTCGACAGCAGCTGGCGATTTACTCTCCATCAAGGGCGATCTCCATTCATACAACATGACGATGAGAAGACATGATAAAACATGGGAGGTAAAGCTCATGTTTGGGGTGCAGTGAAGCCCCCCTTCAAGACTCCGGGGACCAATCGATGTTAATCCGAGGAAACATTTTTACGCGCGAGCTGGAGGCGTGCTAGCATTCCTGGGATGGTTCCAAGATGGCCGATCAGCAGTAACAGTGGAAGCATGAGAAATGGGGAGATGAAGGGATAGGAAGGGGGTCCGAGATCCTTTATATTGTAATGGGGGCTATTCTTCACCCTCCTCCGT